TCACTGGATGGACTATGCTCTGTATTTGTAACCTCTTGGAGGGCAGACCATCCCCAAGACGTCTGGCATAGTCCCTGCATTGAAAAAGTACTTAGTATTTGTTGAAGGAATACATCTCAGCCAGGTCCAGCTCAGTCACTTAAATCAGCTGTGTGATCTTGGGCAAACCACTTAAACTTTCTGGGTCTCAGTTTTCTTTTCTTAAATGGACATTCGAAAGAGGACCTACTTCACATTTGTGGTGAGAGTCCAGTGTAAAAGCCCTGGCATAAGACCTGGCATGCTGCAGACCCAGGGCAACCATGCTCAGCCACCTGCCCACCAACCACGGCCCATCCCCATCGCCCACCAGCTATTGCCCTAGACTCACTCCTATCACCTGGCCCAGTCGAGAGCATTAAAAATGGTTTTACCTCTTCCCAAAGGTCCTTCTTTACTGAGTAGGGTCTGGGGTTAGTCTGCAAGCCGGCTGGGCTGGGTGGACCTAAGCTTCGTTGATGGATCAGCTGAGCCCAGTGGGCTTCCGTTTGCCTGGAAAGCACAACGTCAGCTTCCCATCCTCTTGGATGACTGCACTCCTAATCCCTCTTTTCTCCATACACCCCAGTTCCTGATGTTCCCAGCTCAGACTGGGGTCCGGCCGAAGGTCATCATGGATCTCTGCACTCTGACACTGCCTCTATCTGGTTGACCCTATTCATTGTGCCTCTTCCATCAAAGCCCTGAAACAATGACCCCTCTTTAGGACAAACTCCTAGGAAAGAATATGAGCATCGCTGAGGCTCTTGTAAGGTACATGCTCACTATTGATTTCCCTAAGGGTTGAATCCATTTACATTTAATCAATTACACCACAATGTAAACGGGGCGGGGGGCGGCAGTGGATTCCAGTTTGCTTTAAGGCCAGACACTTTCGAAGGTCGTTCATGAAGTATACCGCTCCCTTTTTGGTTTCCAAACGACTATTCCTGTTCTTTATCCTCTCTATTGCTCGCAATATCTTGAATAGCCACCAGATGGCAGACCTTGCACAGTCCCTGGGAAGATGGATGGTGGTCCAGCAACCCTCTTTTTCTTGTGTAGACAGAGGAGTCTGTCACCGCGGAGGGGCAGAGTGGAGTGGGCATTGATGAGATCCCTGGGGAGATGTGGGGGTGGTCCTAGTAGAGATTGACCTGGCTGGAAGTTAGATGTTTGGGACATTCGTGTATGTTCCTGTCACCTTTGTGGTTTCAGTTTGTCCTTTCTTTCCTGTGCTCTTTTTTCCCACTCTTCTTGCAATTTTGGGGAGATCGGGGGTTTGGGGAGTGGAATGTATAGAGTTTTTATTAATATTCAATTTTTTCCTATTCTATACTTTCCTCTACAAATTTACAATTCATACATTTTATTTCTGCTCTTTAGCGGCTATGCTTGAAAATTTTATTTCACATGCTTGACAAAGTCTAAAATTATGTGGTATCTTAACTCTCCTGCCTCTCACAAGATACATGTATTTTAGCACACTTTAATTCCACTTACTCCCTCCTGGCTTTAATAATGAGTTTTTGTTCTTCCTTTCAAATATTTGTCTCTTCATTTTCTTTTCTTAAAGCCTTTGGTGGTATCCAGAACATTCTTGCCACAGTCCTGACTATGAGGGCATGCTTTGAGATAGTCACTGTTAAATATGAAGGCCATAAGTTTCTAGGGTTCTAAATTATAAAATTTAGAAAAATTTCTCCAATCACTAGCTCCTAAAGCGGTTTGAACTCGAGAATAGATGTTGATTCTTATCCAGTGTGTCCCAGCATATATTAGTATTACCTTTTATCTTTTATCCTTTAATCTGCTAATTAATTTTGAACAATTATTGCATTCCTGAGATAAAATATAATTCATAATGGTGTGTATGTGTGTACATGTGTGGGTGTATCTGTGTGTATATACATCTGTATTCATAAATGAAATTTGTATATTGGTATGTAGTGATCTATATCTGTAATTATAAGCAAAATTGGTATAAAAGGAAATATTTAAAGCAAACAAAATGTTCAACACTATATGGTAAGATAGAATATCATTCAGTTATTTAAATATGTTAATGAATAATTAGTGGCTCCCTCTTCATTGGGAAGTTGCAGAAATTAAGTGGGATTACAAAGGCAAAGTGCTTACCTTCGTCAGTGCCTGGTTACTAATGGTTAACCATTATCACTGCCACCATTAATGAAAACTATTTGGGGACATCTGGTTAGATGACAACATAACACAAGATTGCCGACTCTCTGTTTTTCCCAAGAGCCTTCATTATTTGATAGCCATGTTTTTGTGTTGAGAGGAGGGGGATAAGTTTGATCTGCCTTTGGAGCACAAAGAAGTCTAACCTGTAATTTCATATTCTTATATCGAAGATTCAGGCAATGGCCCTCATAACTTTGAATTCGGAAATCCTACTTCGAGATTTATTTTACAACACATTCAAACAAGGTCATAAAGGTATTTGTTTGAAGTATTCACAGCAACATTGACAGTGGCATCATTAAGTAACCTGGTAACACCTTCTCCAGTCCAGGTCTTTCTCGTGGGTTTCCACTGCCTCCTGGGTCTCTGTTCTGTTGAAGTTCACCAGGCACCTCCTATATGACATGTGTGAAATGAATTTGCCATTGATCCCCAGCTTCCCAGTCAATTTCTCCCTCTTAGTTGTGTAATGGTGACACACAGTTTCACCCCTGCTCATTCAAAGTGCCTTGATATTGCTGCTAGGAGGCCCGTGAGAAAAGGCAGGGGTAGGTTCCATTACCATCATTTAGGTCTCAGCTTATATGCTACCTTCTTAAAGAGGATTTTCTAGACAGCCCAATTTAAAGTAAGTTCTCCTTGATTACTATCTAGCTCAGTCCAGTCATTTCCTTCATGACACTTAGTACAATTTTATCTGTTTGTCATCCATCTTCCACTTCAGAATACCAGCTCCATGTCTACTAATCCACTGACGCTAATGCTTATCAAAAAATCTGATATGAAGTAGGCACTTAAACATCAAATGATGATGAATCTGAAAATCATTAAGAAATTCTCATTAAGGCTTCACAAGAGTTGTTAGCACCAGGAAAATATGTAAAATATCTTGACAACATTCCAAAGGAAGGCCTTCTTAGCCAAGACTCAAAGCCCAGAAACCATAAAGAAAAGTTAATATATTTTACTTCACAAAAACTTAGAAGTTTCATATGGTAACCAACACCATAAATATCATTTTTAAAAATTGAGAGAATGGGGAAAATTATAAAGTTACAATCAAGGATTGTTATCCATAATATAAAGAACTTCTATGAATCAATAAGAAAAAGACAACTACATAGAAAAAGAAACATAGATGATGCAAAAATCATAGAGAACAAAATAAAGATAAACACAAATGGCCAATAAGCATGTTTTTAAAATTATAAATAAATATCCAATAACAGGAAAATAGTTAAATAAATTATAGTACACCCATATTACAGAATGTCATGAAGCCATGATTAGGAATGAGAATTTTTTTTTAACGTTTTAAAACTTTTTATTTGACTATTTAAAAAATGTACATTCCAACGATTAAAATCATTTGAACAAAAAAATTGGCACTCTGATTTAACTGCTTTAAACTGCATTTTACAGCCTGCAGGACACCTTGGACCAGCTTGGTTTTCACTCCAGATTTCAGTGTTATCCCACCAGCTTCTGCCTTCCCCAATAAGTTCTTTTCCTTCTCTGCCAGCCAGACAGGCAGGTGGGAGAGGCAGGTGCGGCCTTCGTTGTCAGTAGTTCTTGGATGTGAAAAAGGGGCAGCACAATCATTTAAACCTGATCCAACCTCTTTGCATCCTACAAAGTTAAACAGCTAAAAGAAGTAAAATAAGAAGGCAATGCTTGTGGAATGTACAGTGCATATTGGCAGTGCGTGCCTCATCACGATTCACCTGCTTGCTTCTCCTGTTCAATCATTTCTTCTGATGATCATGGGTTCTTTTCTTGCGACTTATCGAATTTCTCAATCTCAGCCATATCGGGTTTATCAGACATGGTTGCAGAGGAAGCGGAGCAAGGCAGCGAGGAGTGAATCTGATCTGCTCAGTGGTGGTCAGTTGTGGACTGTCGAGATGTATTTTTATAAGTGAAAAAAGCTAGAACAATATGGAAATGATCCACATCCATATGGATATGTGGAGTTGCTCACAGAATTGTTTCTGCTATGAGGATACGATGTAACATATGGCAACTATAGTTGATATCACTGTATTGTATGATTGTAATTTGCTAAGAACAAATACATACATATATACATATGAAACATACACGAAAAAGTCTGAAAGAATGCACACCAAACTACTTTGTTTTTAGGAAAAGCAGTATGATTGGTCAGGGCAGGGAGGGCTGTGCTACATGAAATGGGATTTTTACCTTTTACTCTGCATGCTTTCCTAGCATTAGAAATCTTTTCTACTGAGAATACATTCACCTACTGCTGTGTAATTCTGAAAAGCATTGTTAAAAACAACAGGACATATATGGAAATCACCTAGCAAACTTCTTGGTATATAGCGTTAATAGTAGCCAAAATCAAAGAGAAAAGATCTGAAAATCTCCCAAACTCATACTGAAACAGGTCGAGGTGACACAGATCTAGGTCCCCTAGAAATGTTTTTGAATAATATGCAGTTCTACAGAGACCCCCATCCCATGTACTCCTAATCCTCCCACCATGCTTTGATTCCTCTTCATTTTCTTGGACTATTAGTTGTAATTTAACTTTAAAAACAAAAAATATATAATCGTTGTACCACGGGCTCTAATATTAGGAAAGCTTTTTCAGGTATAAGTGGACCCCATTCTTGGGTTTGAGGATAACCTGGGGCAAGAGGGAGAGAGGCCTGGTGGGGTCTGGAGTCAACCTGAAGCGAAGCAAAATCAAAGCGATGGTCACCTTTAACTTAATCATGGCAAAGTGCTGCCCGATGCAGTTCCTGCAGACACCAAGAGAAAATAAAAAATACTTGAAGAAATGGTGTTTCTTCTGACTCTTTAATAAGATACTAGAATAACAAGTCTGACGTTCACAGCAAAGCAACAGTTTCATTCTCAATGTCATACAAAATTTTGTACTTTGTATTTACATTGTTCCCTGCAAGAATGTGAGCTGGAAGGCCCCAGCCTTATGCCCTCCCTAAACAAGGTGGCACTTGGAGTTGCTCATAAAATTGTTTCTCCTGGGAGGATATGATGTAAAACATGGTGACTATAGTTGCTAACACTGTATTGTATAATTGTAATTTGCTAAGAAAGTAGAACTTGAATTTCTCTTTCACACACATACACACAAAGATAAATACGTGAGGTGAAGGATGTGTTAATTAACTAGATAGGGAGGAATCATTTCACGATGTATATGTATAGCAAATCATCACAACGTACACTTTAAAGATCTTACAATTTAATACCTCAATAAAGCTGAAATTTTAAAAAAAAGAATTTTTTCTATTTTTAGAGGAAAATCAATGCAGCCCACCTGCATTGGGGGTGGACAGCATTGAGCCTATGAGCAACAGCTAGGATCATAGGATAGCATTCTGAGGCACAGCTATATAGGCTGTGATAGAGAAGGGCGTTGTCTTTTGTGAAACTAACTGGCCCTCTCAGAGGCTTGAATAGACAGCAAGATCTACCTCAGGGTCAGGTGAGAAGATAGGGTTCCCTGAAAGAATTTATAGAGCTGAGGTGCTAAAGGAAAAAAACTGTCCCCGAGTAAACATTTTTGTGTATTTTCAACAAGTTCAAGTTGTCCTCACCTTGGTCCAGCTGAGAATGGTAAGAAGGAGTGAGAGTGTCTCTGATTAGCATTCTCTTGAGAGAACCTCAAGGGGTCAAAGACCTGAAATGAGAGGGCTACTGCTTAGCACTGATCAACAGAAATATACTGTGGGCCACATATGTAATTTCAAATGTCCTAGTAGTCACATTTTAAAAAGATGAAATGATTTTTAATAATAGAAATTAATAGAAAATATTATTATTCCAACATCTACTCAATGTAAATAATTCACATTTTTTGGTACTACATCTTCAAAACCCAGTGTGTATTTTATATTTCCAGCACATCTCAATTCTGACTAGCTACATTTCAAGTGCACAGCAGCCAATTGTGGCTGATGGTTACTGCCCTGGACAGTGCAGTTCTAGTCCTGAGACCTCGTCTGGTCTCTCAATAGACCAGTGGACTACCCAGACTAAGAGAAAAGCAGAAATACTATGACCAGTGGTATTATTTTCACTTTGGAGGTAAAAGTGCATTTACTTAAAAGTCAAGGCAAAATGATTACATAATCAGTGCTTCCTGAGACATATAGTTCAACTTCCCATTACATGTAACAGATCATACACCTTAGCAGTTTATGTAAAAGGAAGTGTTTGTACACATGTTTATTTTTTTAAATTTATTTTTGAATTTTTAAAATTAAGTTTATTGGGGTACCATTGGTTAATACAATCACATAATTTTCAGGTGTATATTTTAATTTGACATCTGTATATTCTATTGTGTGTTTACCACTCAAAATCCAGTTTCCTTCAGCTACCATATATTTGATCCCCTTTACCCACTTCACCCTCCCCCTATCCCCTATAGTTCACCCCCTTTACCCCATCTACCTCCCCCCTCCTCCCCCATCCCCTACCCTCTGTTAAACACTAGTCTATGGTCCATGTCCATGAGTCTCTGTTTGTTTGTCCTGCTCATTTGTTGCTTTTAGGTTTATATCCCACATATAAGTGATATCATGTGATTTTCTACTTTTTCTGTCTGGCTTATTTCACTTAGCATGATTATCTAGAGGTCCATCCATGTTGTCACAAATGGCAGTATTTCATCTCTTCTTATGGCTGAGTAATATTTCATTGTATATATGTACCACAGCTTCTTTAGCCAATCATCTATTGTAGGACACTTTGGTTGCTTCCATGTCCTGGCCACCATGAATAATGCTGCTATGAACATCGGTGTGCAAATATCTTTTTGGATATGGGATTTAAAATCTTTGGGGTAAATACCCAGTGGAAGAATTGCTGGATCATATGGTAGATCAATTCTTAGTTTTTTGAGGAAACTCCATACTGTTTTATATAGTGGCTGTACCAATTTGCAGTCCCATCAGCAATATATAAGGGTTCCATTTTCTCCGCATCCTCTCCAACATTTGTTATTACTTGTCCTGTTGATTATAGCTATT